GGGGGGTTCTGGGGGCCCGGCAGCGTGAAAGGTGGCTCTCCCGCCGCTGCTGCTGCTGCTGGGAGGGGTCTTTCCTCTACAGGGGATTTGGCTACACTGACTGGCACTGACTATAATACTGCTCCATTCAGCCAACACTCTGTGCAGCCATAAAAGTTAACAGGTGTTTAATGTCAGGAGTGTTTCAATTGAAACTAGCAGAAATAACCATTGACAGGCAGCAGGGAGGAGTGAAGAAGCAAAAAAACTTTAAGTATTTTTTTTCCTTCTTCTCCAGAATTGAAATAGTTCTGCTGCTGAGATTAGATGTGGTTCAAATTGAAGCTCTAACAATTACAAAAAAGGCCATTTACAAATAAGGCTGAAACGTATTTTTACAGTTTCATTTAAAAAGGGTCAGAAAACTACCAAGGGCCAATGTTTCAGTATTGTGATAAACACGTATCTACACTAAAAAGCTAGCAAATATATACAAATATTACTTACTAAGTATGCAGAGATCACTGAAAATATTGGCTACTTATTTGTGAAAAAATACCCCAGTACGTTTATTTAGCGGCAGCCACAGTAAAAACTGCTGGGAAAATCCTGGAATCATTTGAAAATACAACGCAAATGAGCGTCATAAAAATAAACGTTTATTTTCATGTTGCTCCAGAAGCATCAGGAACTGAACGCAGCTCAGTTCGTCTGCCAGAAACCACTGACTTTAATGAACGCTGATCCACTTTATAATGGTATAATGGTAAAACTCTGGCCCAGTGTTGGATTTAAGACTTGGATTTAAGCACCAGGAAATACCTGAGAGAGAGAAAGGGGTGCACACACACACACCTTAGCCGACTCAAACTCAGGAAGAAATAGTGGGAGAAGTGAGAGCAGATAATTCTGGACTTCTGTTCAGGTGCAACGTCTGCACCCAACGACTGATAATAATGAAGGAGGAATATTTCATCCTTCGTTTGTCAGTTTTATCCTCCATTAACAGACAGGAATGTCCTCCGCTCCGCTGCAGTCTCAGCCGATTGGCTCGAGGCTTCGACTATTTACAGAATCACAAAACAGCACAATTTTTTGAGAAAAAAAAGAGAAATGTGTGGGAGCCCTTATAAATCGTTAATGAAATATTAAGGAAAGACAGTGGTCTAAATTTGGTCTAAAATGTCTATAAGTCAGGAAACTGTTTAAAACTCTGGTTTTTAAAATTTTTTTTTGTTTTTGTCTCATCATAAATACGTTTTGCAAAATTCAAAATTTGTTATTTTTTATGTCACATGTTAAAAAATAAATTAAAGTATCTGTTATTTTTTTATGCCACATGTTAAAAAATAAATTAAAGTATCATAAAACAAAGAACTGTATCATCATTACAAAAAAACTTTTTGATGGATTTTTTTCCAAAGCAATGTCTTTTTTAATATTAGTTAAAAGCTTGTTTAATCTTTTTCTAAATGTGAAAGCTGCGTTGTTGGTCAAAGTGTTAACTGTTAGTAACCTGTTGTCATTAACGAAATGTTTTCTCCTCAAATCAGAGAGAAAGGTTTTATCTTTATCTAAATTATACTTGAATCAAAAACATAGATAACAGGTTTGAACTTCATTTCTGAAAAAAGAAAGTGAATGCAACAAACGTGTTGACACCAACAGGTCAGTGAGACCTTTAATACCATTGACCTACAGTAACACAAACAAACTGTACATATGTGTTTTAAAGGAGCAACAGTGTTGATGTAAACAAGTACATATTTTTTGTAAAAAAAAAAAATTAAAATTCTGTCACTTTTTCCACACAACACCAAGACCGACTATTTGATAGGAAACACTAAGTCATATAAAAAAACAAAATTATGTAAAAGAAAAATAGTCAGAAATGTTTTCATTCACAGAATGAATATTAGGTCAAAGGAAAGTCTAAATGAATTCTGGTTAAGTCAAAGTGAATGTCAAAAATAGTTTAAGATTTATATATATATAAAATAAGATGAAATTTAAGTCTGAGCTAATTTCACATTCGTTTTTTTTTCTTTTTTCCCTAAATTCACCTCAGCTGCAGGTTCAAGCCTGAGATTGGCCTGAATTTCTCTGGTTCACTGACTTTCACTGAATAACTGCAGGGATGATGAAGCCTGATCTAAACCATATGGACTAATGGTGAACCAAAGTATTCTGGAGGATTTTCTCCACACATCCTTAGGTTTAGGCTGAGTGAATAATACTTACCAGAACTTTTTTTTCTTTTTTTTAAATATCTACATTCACTGAGCAGAGCCTGGTCGACCGGAGCTGACAAGAAGACTGCAGGAGAAAACCACTGCCGATCACCGAGGTTGGTCAGCGTTTGCTCCTCTTGGACGGAGGCTCCTCTGATTTCTGTCCTCCTCTGGTTCGGACCGCGGGGGGGCTGGACTCTCGTTTGCGGCCAGCCTTTGACGAGGCTGGTGAAGTCGCTGTCGCTGTCTGGCTCCTGGAGCCACTGAGGGAGGGAAACAAAGTCGATCTGTTTGTCTATTCGTGTCAAAGGAAAGTGAACGACACGTTTCTCTCTGCTAAAACAAGACTTCATGAAAACAAACATAAACACCTACCACACAATCAAAGACCTGGTCAACTCATTACAAGACATTCTTTAAGCTATTTCCTGACCTCATGCACCAGATTTAAGGTACAAATTCAAGCACTTCCAGGCCTTTGTGGACTGGAGATTTTTCAGCACCTCAGACCAAACTATCTAGTCCAGCCCATGACTGGATTCCAGAATTGTGAATTGAAAATATTTTGTGGTCCCCACTATTAGAGTAGCTGGAAAAAACCAACAACTTAGACCTTAATATGAGTATCGTAAACATCACATAATAACGTTAGAGAAAACTGTATTTTTGATTTTATTTTAGTGTATAAATTGAATGACTGACATAAATGTTTTAAAATTACATTATTATTAAATTAAATTACAGATGCAAATAATTAATAAAAGATATCTTACCAAATTGTAATACATTTCTGAAATAACAACAATCTTTATCATTATCTTATTTTAAGAAATGTGCAATTTTATTGTCCTGTTTGTCTTTTAACATGTCTGAATTAACATTATTCTAAATCAATGTTAAGGTTTTTCTTCCATTGTACTAAATATATTTTCCTAATTGGAGTCATTTCAATAATAAATATTATATTAGTTATTATAGTAGTTTGACAAATCCAGTATTTCTACTGACTCTGATTCTCTACTTGCAGGGATATTTATATTTTTTTTTAAATACCTTGTTTTGAAATCTCTTAAATATGTGTGGCATTCATTAGAGCAAAAATAAATTCAAAGTTCCAGTAAATGCCTGGGTACAACATTTGTGTCACTCACCGCGCTCCCGCTGTCGCCTCCTCTTTCCCGCTGTGTCGACTGGCCCTGGTGGAGGGTTTACTGGGTTTATTTCTGTGAAGAACAGTAAATAAAAACAAACATTTAACTACTAACAGGCTGTGACAGTAATGATGCTAATGATCGTCGCACCTCCAGGGTAAAACACATCTCGGCTTTAAAACCATCAGAGACTCATTCATTAGCACTGACTCCGTCTGTTGGACAGCAGGGCTCAGCGTCTCACTGTTTACAGATGCTGGAGTCCAGGGGCTTTAATGCCAAGGACGTGTTACCGAGACAGAAATGGAATACAACTTGGTGATGAAGAAATTGTTGATAGTTATAAATTCTTGAAAAGATATTTTTAGCCAACAGTTAGCCAATGAGATAGCTGGAAGGATCAGCCCAGTAGGAGGTGAAAAAAAAAAAAATTCAATATTGGACAGTTCACCTCAGAGAGAGGTGATAAACGGGTGAGGTGAAAAAAAAACAGTTCACCTCAGAGAGAGGTGATAAAACTGTCCTGACAAAGAGCCAAAAACACTTTGTGTCTTCACTTATTTGAACATCTTTTAACAACAAAACCCTGTTAATAAATACAGTACAATTTTACCATGTTTCATAAGTTAACTATCCTGGATGTGGACCAGCCGCAGGTGTCATGTCAATCTACCTTTCTGCCTCCAGACGAGACGCTGATCGGGTCGTTGCTCTGGTTGCGGTTCCTTTCCCTTCCTCTCCGTCCTCCTCCTCCTCCTCTTCATTCTGATCACTTTCCTTTTCTTCGGCCTTTTTGTCCTTTTTATCTGTAGAAGAGACAACATCACACATCAATTAATCTCGCCTTTGAAAAAACCTGAATAACAATGTCGGGGACATCTGAGGTTGATTTATTTCTGACCTGAATCTTCTGCAGTCGTAGCTGCTGCCGCTGCTGTCTTTGAGGGACGGCCCCTCCTCTTCTTAGGAGCCATGTCCTGCTCCTCCTGCTGCTGCTGCTGCTCCTCCACAACCTGGAGAAACAAAATCACAAGACATTATAGAAATAGAGCAAGTAATTAAAAATAGATGATTATATAGATTTTAATTCAGCATCAGTCCTGGTGAGGACATAAAACACCTCCTGCTGAGACTAAAAATGACTGCAGTGTCTAAAACTATTTATTTCTGTTTCTATATGTAAATACATAACTTTTATCTAACGGAGAAGATAACATTTGTTTTAATTAATTTGAATGTATTATTTTTTGTGAATTAGTGTGACCCAGGTACAATTAAGAATTTCTAAACTAATACTTTTTGTATTTTACAAATCTACTAATTTATTAAATCTGTTGTTGCTATTAATTAACTGTCATCACCGCTGTTGAAATTGTTACCGTAGTCACACATGACTGTTTTTTTTGTTGCCACAAGAGGGCAGTGTAACCACATCTGCTGTGCCGTGATTTCTGAATCTGACAAGACTTTCACTGAATACAAAAAAAAACCGTCACTATCATTCAACGATATCTTAGAGTAAGATTTGTTTTTGAACAGACGTACGTCATCCGGTTTCTTCTTCTGCTCCTTCACTTCGTCTTGTTCTTCTGACGGGTTCATCGACTCAGATGCTCCTGCACAGAAAAACAATATTTCACTGACATCAATCCATACAAGGAGTGTCCACACTTTTTTAGCCTGGTTAGCAACTAATAAAATGACCAAGATGAAGTGAACCACCCACATTGAAAACATTAAATAATTTACTTATATAAACTGAACATACTTCATATAGACATTATATGCTGGGATACTGACTGAATGCATGTGGCTGTATAACACAATATGATTCAGTTCTTACAGTATGTGTTAATTACTCATCATCTTACCATCCTCTATTTCAGACTGTTGTTCACACTCCTGCTGACCGTCTTCTTCTTCTACTTCTTTCTCTGCTTGAATTTCCTGTAGAAATACATATTAGTAGCGACATAATACAGACAGAGAAGAAGCTGCTTATTGAACGGCCACTAAATGTTCTCTCACTTTTATTAAATGTTAGAATGTAACAGGTAGACGCTAACTTTCCACACTGCAGTGAAATCTTTGACTGATCTCTGCGACACAAACAGACAAGCTGACCATGTTTCGTTTGACAACAAATCTCACCTCTACAGTTTCTTCCAATCCTTCTGTCCTTTTCCTCTTCGCTTCTGGCTCACCTGAAAAAGGAATGTGATTAACTGTGAATAAATGACGTACTGATTATGTGAACTACAGCAGCATCCTAAAGAACGAGCAGCAAAATAAGAAAAGCGAGTGGAATAAAAAGTGACTTACAGACATCAGGGGAGTTTCCTGCAGCTTCAGATTTCTCCGTTGAATTTTCAGCCTCACATTTCTACCACCGGGGACAATGACAGTCTTAACACCACGAACGGAGTTTACTAACGTTTGAAGAACATGCTTCACATTTCTCCTCTCACCTCTTCCTTCTCTGGACAGCCGTCTCCTCCATCCTGCTCCTTTTTCCGTTCTGAGGTCCAAACCGAAACAAAAGTAACTTTACACACTGTGACAATTCTGGCCAATCACAATTTACTTTTGGATTCAAGTCAAATTATATATATTATATATATAGATATAGATTTCAAAACAAATAGTATTTATATTTTTACCTAAAATACATTTAATTGTGACTGAACCAACGTTAGTAAAAAAACACGTACAAACATTCAACTGTTCTATAACTGCTCCTCTACTTCATGTCTCCACTGACCTGCAGCAGCTTCTGTAGCTCCTGATCGTCTCCCCCTGCGACTGGGACTCTCCTCTGGTTTCTCAGCTCCTTTATTTTGCTCCTTTTCTGAATCTGTCTCCTCCGTTAGTCTGGAGGATCTTCTGGTGTGAGGTGTTTCTGCAGCCTTCCCTTGAACGGTCTCCTTGAAATGTATACAAAATACTTCAAGTTTATATGGTTAAGAGTAGTTGGTGACCAGGGACGAAACTCTCGACCGTAAAAAAAACTTTTAATTCTCATTTAAAACTATGTTGTTTATCTACCTGGGATAGTTGCTCCTTACTGTTCTTTTCTTCTTTCTCCTCACCTTAAAGCAGATAAAAGATCAGAACCAGAGCAGACAGAAGGTGGCAGCATTTCTATCTCAGGTCTAAAGTTTTGGCCACCTTACCAGCTACAACTTTCTGACTGGACAATTTTCTTTTCCGCCCTCGTCTTCCTGAAATTGTTTCATCCTACAAAAATAAACACACACACGAGTGATGCAGGTTAGAGGACGGTTTCCTGCATTATTTACAAACATGTCTGAGGAAAAGTTACCTTTTCAGACAAGTCTGATTCCTTCTCGTCTTCCTGACTGTCTGCGCTGGAGATATTACCTGACAAAAAAAATTCTCTTTCAGTAAACATGAAAAGAAAACATGCAGTATTTGAAAGAAACATACATACAATCGTGTATCTGGTGTGTTGTTTTTTTCCCACAGTCACACGACTTACTGATTTGTTTGACAAGCCTGGTCTGACCCTTGGATTCAGCTTCTCTGACCTCCAGCTCCTCCACCTTCCCTGGAAAGTCCATGTCCATCTAGACAGTGGTCACAGGCCAGGGATGAACATGTTAGAGAACTTTAGACAATCAGGATCAGATGAAGTGACTGAGGATTCAGGCCGATCACATACAGTTTGGAGAGGAGTCTCCTCAGCTGCAGATCTCTCTGACTCCTCTGTCTTGTCCACTGGTTCATCTTTGGAAGAAGAGAAGAAAAGAAAAGCTGAAATCAACTTTTGTTTTTTAACATATTCACCTCACCCTTCACCTCCTCAGTTTTAGAAACTTTTAATGATGCATAATTTTAATTTTTAATTTCCTTGACATTTAGGTCCACTGAACATTGAGTCCACTCCCACCTGTAACTCCTGCTGCCGTCTTTGAAGGACGTCCTCTCTTTTTCTTTGGAGTCGTTTTCTGCTGCTGCTCCTCCTCCTTAGTCACTTTAAATATTGAAACAATTTAAGATTAGGTGTAAATGATCCGTCTCTGCTTTGGTGGAGTCCGTGCCTCTTCTCTGCACTGTTTCGTTTAATGATTTTTAAACCAGAAACAAACATATGTTCTATGAAAATCAAACTCACCTGATGTTGGTTCTTCTACGACCTGTGCAGTTTCCTCCGGTGGTGACATCACAGAGGCTGCTACCTCAGTTATAGGAGGCTGCTCCTTCTCTTCAGACACAGAAGAAGGAGGAAGCTGCTCTTTTTCTTCAGTCACAGAAGGAGGGAGCTGCTCCTTTTCTTCAGTCTCAGAAGGAAAAGGAGGAGGAGGAGGGAGCTGCTCCTTTTCTTCAGTCTCAGAAGGAAAAGGAGGAGGAGGAGGGAGCTGCTCCTTCTCTTCAGTGACAGAAGGAGAAAGTGGCTGCTCCATTTCCTCAGTCTCTGAAGGAGTAAGCTGCTCCTTTTCTTCATTTCCAGGAAGAGGAAGCTGCTCCTTTTCTTCAGTCTCAGAAGGAGGAGGAGGCTGCTCCTTTTCTGCAGTCTCAGAAAGAGGAGGAAGCTGCTCCTTTTCTTCAGTCTCAGAAGGAAAAGGAGGAGGAGGAGGGAGCTGCTCCTTCCCTTCAGTGACAGAAGGAAGAAGGAGAAGGTGGCTGCCCCATTTCCTCAGTCTCAGAAGGAGTAAGCTGCTCCTTTTCTTCAGTCTCAGAAGGAGGAGGTGGCTGCTCATTTTCTGTAGTCACAGAAGGAGGAGGTGGCTGCTCCATTTCCTCAGTCTCTGAAGGAGAAGAAAGCAGCTCCTTTTCTACAGTCTCAAAAGGAGAAGAAAGCAGCTCCTTTTCTATAGTCTCAGAAGGAGGAGGAAGCTGCTCCTTTTCTTCAGTCTCAGAAGGAGGAGGAAGTTGCTCCTTTGCTTCAGTCTCAGAAAGAGGAGGAAGCTGCTTCTTTTCTTCAGTCTCAGAAGGAGGAGGAAGTTGCTCCTTTTCTTCAGTCTCAGAAAGAGGAGGAAGCTGCTCCTTTTCTTCAGACTCTAAAGGAGAAGGTCGAGGTTGCTCCTTTTCTTCAGTCTCAGAAGGAGGAGGAAGTTGCTCCTTTTCTTCAGTCTCAGAAAGAGGAGGAAGCTGCTCCTTTTCTTCAGACTCAGAAGGAGAAGAAGGAGGCTGCTCAGTTTCTTCAGTTACAGGTGGAGAAAGCTGTTCCTTTTTATCGCCTTCACAAGGAGAGCAATGCTCCTCCTCAGTTACAGTACAAGAAGGCTGTGTCGCCTCCTCAGTTTCAGGAGGAGGAAGCTGCTTCTCCTCCTCAGTAAGAGGAGCAGGAAGCTGCTTCTCCTCCTCAGTAAGAGGAGCAGGAGGCTGTTCCTTTTCTTCAGGCTGTTGCTCCATATTTTCAATTATTAAAGGATGCTGATGCTCTTTCTCCACAGATTCAAGAGGTTTTTCTTTCTCCTCAGACTCAAGTGAAAACGACTGCTCCTCCTTCTCCTCACTCTTTGGTGGAGGAGGTTGCTCTTTTATCTCAATCGCTGGGGATGGTGGTCTTTCTTCCAGAGGTTGAGGACACGGCACAAAGTCTTTTTTCCCAACTTCTTGAGGATGCGGCTCTGACTCTTCCTTCGTAGACATGGGGAGAGGAGTTTGCACCTTCTCACCTTCAGAATGAGGAGTATGCTCTTCCTCCATAATTTCAAAAAAAGGAGAAGGTTCTTTGTCCTGAGCTTCAGTCTCATGAGGGAGCTCATCTTTCTCTGTAACACTGACAGTAACAGTAGGAGTCAGTTCTGAATCCACAGTTTCAGGAGGAGGTGGTTGCTCTTTCTCCTGACTTTCAGGATGAGGAAGCAGCTCCTCCTTTTCAGCCTCAGATGTGTCCATTGGTTCTGAGTTGATTAGACTCACCTCAGCTTCTTCCCTTAAGTTCTGGCTGATCAACCTCGAGGACACACTGCTGTCTGGGTCCATGGAGAGCAAAGTCAGCGCCGCCTCCTTCATCTTCATGTCGGCCTCCTGCAGCGCCATCTCGGCTCTCAGCTCCTCCCCGATGATCTGTGGTAGGAGTCTCGCCTCCGCCGAGGTGCAGACGTCCATGAGAGTCAGCAGAGCGTCGGCTTCAACCGGAACAGACGGCAGATCAGCCAGCCTGGATTCGGTTTCTCCTTCAGGAGGCTCGGGAGTGATGTCGCTCAAAGCGTCACACGTGTCATCAGACAGGGAGGTGGTAACGGTGGTGGTTACAGGCTCAGAGTCCGTGCCTGTGTCTTGGAGGAGAGATTGTTTTTTGGGCAGCTCCACAACTTCCAGAGTGGCTGAAGACATGGAGGACTTTGGAGGATTGTCAGACTTTTCCACGATGTCTTCTCTCTGTGCTCTGTTCTCTTGGCCGTCATCTCTTTTCTCAGCCGCTTTTTCCTTCTTCTCCAGTTTTTTCTTGGCACTCTTGATTCCTGATTTTTCTTGAGAAGGTTCTTCAGATGTCTTCCTCTGCTCTTTTGCACCCCCTTCTTTTTTCTTGTTCTTTGTCGTGTCGTGTTTCACAGCAGGTGGAGCTGCTGCACATTTGGCTTCAGAACTCTGGATTTTCTTGTCAGTTTTTAATGGAGTCTTTGATTCCACTTTAACTTTTGGCTTTTCAACCGTTTTGACTTTCTCTGCTGATTTTACTCTTTTTGAATCTTTGTCCGACTCAGAGCCAGATTTGCCAGACCTTTGGATTTCCTGGTCTGGTTTGATCTTCTCCTTCTCACACTCTGTGCTTTTTGGCTTTTCTCCCTCTGTGTGACTCTTTGACCGTTTTAGAACATCTTTGGAATGTTTGTCCTTCTTTTTACTGCTATCTGCCACAGGCTCCATGTCAGATCGATCTTCAGAGGAACCAGCAGATTCAGGACAGAGCAGCTGCTTAAGATCACTTTTACCTGCACTTTTCTCTCCTTTAGCCTTGTCTCTCTCTTTGCTCTTGTCTTTCTCTTTGTCCTTCTCCCTGATTTTGTCCTTCTGTTTCTCCTTATCTTTCTCTGCTTTCACAGCTTCAGTAGTCGGAGGTTTTACCTTCCTTGGATCTTTAGGAACCTCATCCACTCCACCTTCAGACACCTTTGCTTCCTTTGTGTTTCCTGTTTTCTTTTCACTTTTCATTTTAAGCTTCTTGTCACTTTTCTCCTCAGACGACACTTTCGCACTCACCTTTTGTTGAGATTCTTCTGCCTGATGTTCAGATTTCTTTTCCTGTTTTTGTTTGACTTTCACACGTTCATCTGACAAACTGCGCTCCTTCTCTTTGCGTTCTTTTGAGTGAGATTCTTTGCGGGACAGTCGATCAAATTTTCCAACTGATCGTTGTTTCAAAGCCCCCAGGGAGCCTTGCTCCAACTCCAGGATAAAAGAGTGAGTCTGGCCTTTGTCTAACAGCTTTTTAGTTTCACTGGAATCTTCTGAGACACTGCCGCTCATGCTCCTTAGCCGCTCATCGGATGATGCCGACTCCGACAAATTCCTACTCAGCTTAGGATGTGGAGTCTTAGGAGTTGCAGGTTTGAGTTCCTAATTTTGAAAGAATGACACTCATTATTCTTTAATTCAATGTCATATTCTTAAAAACAATCTCTGAATTTACTGCTTGAAATTGTTTACCACTTTTTTGGATGCTTCTCCTCCGGTGTCTCCTTGTTTTTTGCTCAAGGAATCTCCCTCTTTTCTAAACCATAAAAGTTAGACAAGTATTATCAGTATTAGGCAAAGTTAAATGTGGAGCTTAGATTAAATGTGTTTATTTAAATGCAAAGAGAATGTGTTTAAAGATGAGCGTCTGTTGACAAACCTTGAGTCTAGTTTCCTCTTCCGGTTTAGGGCCATTTTTTTTTCCAGAACTTTCCTTTCTTTTTCCTTTCTTTGCGAGCCTCTTTAGCCCTGGGATGATCGAACCCAGCAGAGTCTCTCCTTTTGGACCTTTTAAAAACTGTAAAATTCACCGTATTAAAAATGAGCCTATGTAAACAATATGTTTACACACAGCTGACCAACAGAAATACCTTGTTCCTCGGCCTGCACTGCTTTCTGTTTACGTCTCTCCTCCATTCTTTCTCTGTTTTGTTGTCTTTTCAGGAGCCTTTCCTCTTTATCCTTTGCCTTTAATCACAGGAAAGGTTGTGCAGAATAAGCATATGTTCAGTTTTCTGACCATTTTTAACACTAAATGGACTTAGTAGGACATCATACAGCGTTCCTCCGTCGTTCCTCCACAGTGACCTCATCGTCAGAGTCGCTGTAGTACCGAGAGTAGAGAAAAGGCTTGTGAACGTAGGCCTTGCGGCGTGCCTTGTGTTTCCCGCCTGCTCCTGGTTCCTCACTGGCATTTTTCTTTTCTGCTTCTTCATCTTGATCTGGCCACAGTAACAAAAACATTTTCATTTTAACTACAAACTTGTCATTATTGTACCATATGTAGAAATATTGAGAAAGATAGAAAAAATAAACACATTTTAACTACAAACTTGGCATTATTGTACCATATGTACAAATATTGAGAAAGATAGAAAAAATAAAGACCGTCAGACAGAAGCTCTCCTTCCTCAGATGACTCAGACATCTGTGCATTGTCTTCACTTTCCCCGTCAAACGAGGACAGGTCACTGGTGTGGACGGAGCTCACAGTGATGTCACTCAGGCCGTCCAAATCAGAGTCCTCTAGAGAGTATTCTGTAGAGAAAGACAGTTATAGAATACACGGTGACATTTATTCTTTCTCTTCTGCCTCTTATGATCTGTAGGGTCACAAGGCTGAGTCACAGCAGTCATCAGGCTACTGCAGGGACAGTTCACCCGCCCATCACAGGGACACATAAGAGATAATCAATACTTTAAGCTAAAAACTATATCAATTTAGAGTGAACAATTGACGTTATCCTGCATGTTTAGGGGAATGTGGGAGGAGGACAAGTTTGTATTTTTATATGATATACCGGTTATAAAACAGGAAAAGTCGCATCATGATCAGGACACTCACCTTCCTTTATCCTCTCTCTGGCCTTCAGTCTGGCCTGACTTGTAGATTTGAGATGTTCTTCATCACAGTTCTCCTCCAGGGGTTTCTCAGGTACTACATCACTGGTTGTGTTGTCTTTCTCCTCCTTTGTTGGATCATGACATTCTGACTCCTCGTCCTCTACCTTCACATCATCTGTTAACACCCTTCTTCCCACATCCGGCTGCTCTTGAGTGTCCTCTTTCTTAACTTCCACCATTTGAACGTCTGATGTTTCTTTTCCCTTTACTATCTCCTCCAGGACCTTTCCTTCCAGTTGATTTTCTCCTTCCTCTTCAACACTCATATCCTCATCCTTCTCCTCCCCCAGATGCATGGCCTCATCTGCAGCTGGAGTTTTACGGCCTTTATCTGTGCTTGAGCTGGCCCTGACGATTGCCTCCTGGTTGAGAGAGGTTATTGTATCTAGAATTGACATTGCGTCATTGGATCCAGTGGTGGTTGGAGCAGGAGCTGTAAAAAAAATCATCAAATATGGACAAGAAGTTTATGTGCTACGTACTTATATGTATATAAATAAAATATATATCTAATTCAGCAGCTAATCAGACATGAAACCCTACAAACCCTGCTCAGGAATGTTGCTGTCTGGCTTAGTCTCTGCTGGAGGGAGCGGGGCCGGCACCTCCTCAGAACTGCTGCCAGGTGACAGAAACTCACGCACAACCCTCTCCACCTGAGGCCTGAAGATGTGGTTGACTTTGGGATCTACCACCTGCGCCACAATCCTGTCCACGCCCTGTTCCAGCATGCCCGACCTATTGAGAAGGGAAATTTAATTAATGACAAAGTAAAATGAACATATGTAAAGTAAATAGTTAAAACAAAGTTTATGAGTTTCCACTTACTGGAGCACAAGCTGCCGTATGTTGTTCCTCAGCTGATTTTTGTTCAAATGTGGGCTCCATGTGTGATTAGACAGATGATTAGAGACAAAGTTGTCTACTCTTTGTTTTAGGTTCAGGTAAGCTGGCTGCCAAAGAAAAGACAACAAAGAGAATTACCAAACTAACCAAATCGTTGTTTTATGTTGACACAACACGTACATCACTTTCAAATTCTCCAAACTGTTATTCTACGTTTGCCTCCATTGTTTTTGAAATGGTTAAAATAATTGTGCAGTTTTTTCTCACAAATTCTCTCTGAATGTAAAACAGAACAATGTGATACACCTAAATGAAATTAGTGGGCTCAGAAAATATGTGTTTAAACTCTACCCCCTCTCAATACAAGCATATTTTGAGAGCAATTACATTTTCTGTGGGCAATATATATCAAATTCACGTCCAAACGATAAGCACCAAATGTAACGAAGATGCGATATAGGTTTGTGTAGCGTGGTTGTTCTGGTAAAACAAAAACAAATAAGAGTAACAAACGACATTAAATAATGTTTTCTTCGTTTCTTACCTTTGTATCAACATCTGCAAGACAGTCCCTCCTGAACTGGTCAAAAAGACCCTGTGTTTTTAAATGATTGACGATCATTGAAACAAGCTGAGGGTCTCCTGGCGCTAAACCCGCCATGACTTAGTTTAACGGCGAAGCTTAACCCAGCTCCGGCGAATTAATTGTATAAAAAAAAATTTGCAATGTTATACAATTGCACACGATTACAGTAAATTAGACTATTGACAATTCAGTGCAGCCAAAGTTGGAGGAAGTAATTAAACGGAAGAAATAAAACGTCACCGTCACTTGAACCGGAACTAGTACAGAAAATACGTCCCTCGAAAAATAAAGGTTTGAGAGATATTCTTTTTTTTATTTCTGAGTCACAAAAAGTATATATATTCCATAGTGTCCCAATCGAACGAGAAACGTATGTTGCCCAATCTTCAAATCAAAAAGGAAAATTACGTTGTAAGGAAAAAACACGATATAAATAATTTCTAATTAATTAACAAATCCAGAATAAATAAATTATACCACAATCAAATTCATATTAATGGTTGTTAAATATTGTTTTTAGAAGAAAAACGTTTTAGTAGAAAGATATAGAATAGAATACACTCACCAAAGGAAATCAAGAATCGAATCAAAAAAAAGAATGGGCATGAATCAAACAAAGGTCCAAATATCGTTTACTGTTATCATCCACGAAAAACGAAGGTGTTTCAACTAAGATCGACGATAAAATCAATAGAAAATATTTTGTAAAGTGTAACAAAAAAGGCTCTTTGGCAGCGGTGGGATTCGAACCCACGCCTCCGAAGAGACTGGAGCCTTAATCCAGCGCCTTAGACCGCTCGGCCACGCTACCATGCCGACAACGCACACATTTGCAAAGATAAACTAAACGTTTATGACAGAGCGTGGTCCAAAATTTTCATTACCACAGCTTCCACTTTTGTAGTTTAATATCAGGATTGGAGATGATGTAAATAGGTCATGGTTGGCAAAACTCAATTTACTTTTCATAGACTTTGTTTTGTAGCTAATTAAGAATATTAACTCATTTTAGGCTGGATTTATACATAAAACTACATTTCATGACTTATTTAAATCAAGCATTTGTCACATATTTTAAACAAATAATAAACAAAACCAACATTGTTGATTCTTCAAATGAAAATACTTATTTCCACATATTTTAAATAAATAATAAACAAAACCAACATTTTTGATTCTTCAAATGAAAATACTTATTTTTTCAAAAGAAACTATTGCCTAAACAACTAGTTTAATAACAATCATCTGTCTGTAGAAATAATGTGAGGAACATTTTACATATACATATAGCCGTAAATGAATATCCCTTCCTCTGACTGATCAATTTGAAGCCAAAAACTTTTAAAAGACACCTGATTGTATTTTTTATGAATATAATATTTGCTGACTAACATATGAGGCAACAGAAAAAGAACAATATAATACAGAAGAAAACTATCCATTGCTATAGATGTGAAGGATAAAAGGAATCAATTTATTTTATAAAATTTATTTAATAATAACTTCTAATACAGAACTTAAAACGATGCCCTTGCCCTTTAAGAAGATTTAGAGAGGAAAACATTTAAATGATAGACACGGCTAAGAAAAGGTACTTTGATAACATTGATAATAACGTCACACTGTACAACAAAAACAGTAAATACGCATAAATGATTATTTTAAAAAATGTGTTGGTAGTTTAAAGCCCAAGGCAGTAAAAGCAAAAATGCTGGTGCAGCGTCTCTTCAGGAAGACAGAGAAGATCCATTGGTGGAGGGCAGCTTGTGTCAGGTGGGTTCATTTTTTTGCTGCGTAGGTTGGGGGAAGCACTCTGTGAGAGTTAGCACGCACCCATGGATGATCAATGACATTTTGTAGAGAGAGGCGATCAATTGGATTGTGACGGAGCAGCTTAGAGATCAGGTCTCGAGCCCCTTCTGAGACATTTGGAGGGAACTTGAAATCCACCTGTAAAAACGAAGCAGAAATGTTTGCAACACAGACAGTGAAAGAAAAACATTTTGTTGAGTAAATCTTGTTCCTCGTACTCATTGGTGTAACAAAGTATTTGTCGATATTTGAAAACACAAACCTTTGTGATTCTTTTGTACGTTTCAGTGTGATTGGCTGTTTCAAAAGGTGGGTTGCCAACAAGGCACTCGTAGCAGAGGACCCCAATGCACCACAAATCCACCTTTTCACTATGAGTGTGTCCTTCAATCATCTCTGGGGGGAGGTAGTCCAGGGTTCCGCACATTGTACGGCGTCTATAAAGATCAGAAGACAAAACCATGAATGATGCGGAAGAAGCAGCAAACTAATGAGGTTAAATGTACAACTTTCTTACCTTAATGAAGGCGCATGAACAGACCAACCGAAATCAGCTATTTTCAGCTCGCCCCGAAAGCCCAGAAGCAGATTCTCAGGCTTAATGTCACGATGAATTACTTTCTTCTCATGACAGTACATCAGAGCATCTGCGATTTCCTCCATATACTGTACAAATTAATTTCCCAAAAAAATAAAAAATTACAATGTATTTTGATATGGTTAAAAATTCAGTTACATTGTATTTTGATATGGTTAAAAATTCAGTCTGCAAAGAAACAAAGCATAAACACTTACTGTAGCAGTTCGCTGATCATCAAACCGTCCATATCTCTGCAGTTCTTTGTACATCTCTCCACGTGGAGCATATTCCAGGACTAAAAACACTCTCTTGCGATCATGGAAGTAGTTGTAGAAACGGAGAATGTTGGGGTGTCTGGAAAGAAATGTAATTTTTTTTGTCTGCCATTGACAAGTTGTCAAGTTTTTAAAACTTAAACACGGTGTTAAGAGAACTTACAGACCCACGCTTTTAAATATGCAACCATTTTTTGTGAAAATTAGAAATAATTATTATTGTTTATTATTGAATAGTGTTGCAAATAATGTGAAACAATCTTATTTTAGATGTGTGTACCATGATAAGTATTTGACAAATCTGTTTATACAACATTTACATAAGCATTGATGAAGATATTCAATTTAAACAGGCAGCCCAACAAAACAATATATTTTTAAATACTCACTTAAGATGTGACTGAATCTCAATCTCTCTCCTCAGCTGATGTTCAACTCCTTCCTTTTCTATCTGTGACTTGAACAACACCTTCAGAGCAACAATTGCCTGCAACTCCTTCACTTTGGCAAGATAGACGTTACCAAACTTGCCCTTCCCCAGAGGTCGTCCAATATCAAAATCATCAATTGTGATTTTCCTGAAGAAAATGCATTACCATACATCATGTTGTTACATTGAATCAACTAAATTAAGTATCCAATGATTCATTAAAAAACATTCAGGACGTGATTATAACTTACTTGAGCATTAAACTGGAGCCTACACCTTCTCTGCCTGGACCTGAAGACAGAACCATTGTTAAAAGTGTCAGACTTGACAGGGTTTAAGCATCATTTGTAAAAAGGCAAATGATAGTTACCTGTGATAGCATTTCTGTCCATTTCTGCGTGTGGCTTCACCAGAACTCGTTGTGGACCCGCCATGTTTGGTGTTGCAAACTGTTATTCAGATCAAAGTGATATTTAGATTTGATTGAGATCAATAACACCTCTCAATCACTAGAACTAGACAGTAAAAATAATATGGATTAGCTTTTTTTAAACGCTTACCGGCCTTTGGAATATCTTAGGCTGATAGTTTTCTTTATTCTGCAAAATAACAATAGAGACTCACATAAGCTTTTAGTTTATATTAATTTATACTTATACTGTGCTGACATTCACAAACTGAAGTTCAAGCAGATCTAAAACAGTTTTTTAAAACGTTTACATGGAAATTAATGTAAAATTATCGCACATACAGTAGCTTGTCATTTGAAACGTTGAAAATGAAGTTAATTTTATCTAAGGATATATCCTGAGCGACAACGTGGGTTACAAAAGTTTTATACAGTTGGTACATAACATCATATTAACCACATGTATGACACATCCAGTTACACAGACAGGGAAAATGTATTGAAAATGTGTAAATATGCAGGAAGAGAACCTTTCAAATTTAGCAACATGTATGCTAAGCTAGTTAGCCAGGCTAGAAAACGTAATCCATTTAGCTTCAACCTCCGATGACAGATAGATGTTATCACAATTTAGATTACCGAATATGGAGAGTATAGCCTCGTTACAACACTGCCTTACCTGCATCGTTTCTGAAGTTACAGAGCGTTTATTTCTGATTTTCCCAGTCTTTGTAAAGATGAACAACAGACTTCCTCAGCCGCCAATGTTTTTAAAAGACAACCTACAGAACCACGATTGGTTAGTTAGCCGCACAGAGTGCACTCCCATTGGCCAATGGCCCTACAAGGGAATACGTGGGCTAGGTCACCAGATCTGCCACTCAGACTTCGACCCGCCTTAATTTTCCTGTTTAATTTTGAAAACGGATTTGACCTACCAATACAAGTGTCAAGCTAACTCACTGGAGACGCTAAATTAACCTAAAAATGTTACAGTCTATATCTTGATAGAATAAAACATTTCAGGACATGTGTCCTTTTTCTGGATTTTGGGCAATTTTAGCTTCTATTAGTCACTAATGTTTGCTGTTTTTAACCAGTCAAGGCTAAAGTCCTGGATAAACCCCTAAATATATAATTTATTTGGAGGTAAAGTTGCTTTTTAAAGTTATCCAAGTTATATTTGTAGCATTACTGTGATAATAGAGACTAATACTTTTGGTAGAGTATGTACATGTTTTGTCTTCATGCTGCATATACAATAAAGCTACATTCAACAGATTCCACAAAAAATAATACAAGACTTGTATGATCAAAAATGTTTATTCAAATTAGTTTCTCACTGAAACCTTCTCAATTCCAACAACACGTTTTCAAAATGACATTTTCTCTTATTACTCTTTACAGTGTAAAAGGTATACACTATAGTTCTCATCTAATTGATTCTTTGGAAAAAAAGAGGAAATAAAGTTAGTTTTCACTGATTCTATGGGCAATACTTATCTATTTATGTTATATATATTTTTATATAATGTATATTAATGTTTCTTTAGGATAAACATGTAAATATACATTTATTTTAGGGGGGGGGTTTTATAATGTATATTGTTCTTCTGTAGCATGTAACTAAACACCTATAGATAAATTTAGGTCTTCATTAAAAGTACATGAGAAAAGTAACAGGAAACAGGTAAATCATTTCTAGCAGTATGTTTAAAGTTTCAGGTTCTTTAGTATTTACAGCAGTTTATGTCAACCGATTTTTTTCCGAAGATAATGTTTGAAATGTATGTAATTTTGTAAATTCCAGTATTTACAAAGAAGAGAGTCTTCTAATTGTGTGTGAAATAATTTTATTCACGTGGGAGGCAGTGAGAAATGACAAACACAACATATTTAAATAAAAACTTAAGATGATAAAACTTAAAATGATAAAATTGCAATTGCAATTGCAAAAGAGTTTATGGCATTATTTTGTCACTGTTGAAACCATTAATAACATAAAAACCATGATTTAAAAAATAATATCTGTTTTAAGTTTGGGCTCTTGTACTTAACTTAGCAGTAAAAGAGGTTGTATCTAGTCTGCATTAATCTGAACAGAGCAGTTTGTAAAAACATAGGTGCAAACCGGCGGCTGGGGAGCCAGTGAACGACGCAGACTTGAAAAAGCATCCAGTGTCTCATTTTCTTCATGGTTGGAATCCCCAGCTGCAGCAGAGTCTTCACCATGCGGCTCTTCTTCACCACTGCCGTCTCCATCCAGCACAGACGAGGACTGTCGGGACTGGAACACCACATCCACAAACTCTAGTTGTCGAAGTCCACGCAGGAGACGGCAGCTTCGGACTATCTGCATCTCGCTGAGTGTGCAGGCCCAGAGGCACAGACGTTTCAGGTCCTTCAGACGGCTTGCACAAAGTAGACCTGGCCCCACTTCTCTACCACCCAGACTCAACTCCTCCAGTCCAAGCCATCCTGCTCCAAGACCTAGGGAGGCCATCTGTAACTGGTAGCCCTGCCTTCCATTGATGCCTATTTCCAGAAACTTGAGCCTGGAAAGCCCTTCCACCCCACAGGCACCATCTTTAGCAGCACAGCTCCTCAGTCCATTGGCTGTCACACGAAAGGTGTCCCGCAGTTCCAGTCGACTCAGTCTCTCCCAGGAATTCAGACTCTGAAGATGATGATCAGTGAAGGATGGCACGTTGTTGAGAACCAAGGTCTCAATTTTTGTCCCTGATGGAGAGCAAAGCTTTCTTTCTTTCTGACACAGCTCTTGCAATCGAGCCCCTTCACTAGATGAGGGCTCTGCTCTTTCTTGAACAGTTGAAGATGGCAATATCTGGTTGAAAAAGCCAAGGGGCAATTCACAACTAGAAAGTTCCAGCATTTGCAGAGATGGAGGTAGGAGATGGCAACCGGTAAGGCCTCTCAGGTCGGTGTGCAGGAGATAAAGTTTTCTCAGTCGAGGGCACTTTGTGGACAAAGCCTGTAGCCAAGACTCTGAGAGAAAGGTGCCACCCCGGGCAGACAGCAGCAAACCACGTAACCGGAGAGACCTTAGTCCACAACCCAAGTACTGTTGTAAATTCCAGTATTTACAAAGAAGAGAGTCTTCTAATTGTGTGTGAAATAATTTTATTCACGTGGGAGGCAGTGAGAAATGACAAACACAACATATTTAAATAAAAACTTAAGATGATAAAACTTAAAATGATAAAATTGCAATTGCAATTGCAAAAGAGTTTATGGCATTATTTTGTCACTGTTGAAACCATTAATAACATAAAAACCATGATTTAAAAAATAATATCTGTTTTAAGTTTGGGCTCTTGTACTTAACTTAGCAGTAAAAGAGGTTGTATCTAGTCTGCATTAATCTGAACAGAGCAGTTTGTAAAAACATAGGTGCAAAACGGCAGCTGGAGAGCCAGTGAACGACGCAGACTTGAAAAAGCATCCAGTGTCTCATTTTCTTCATGGTTGGAATCCCCAGCTGCAGCAGAGTCTTCACCATGCGGCTCTTCTTCACCACTGCCGTCTCCATCCAGCACAGACGAGGACTGTCGGGACTGGAACACCACATCCACAAACTCTAGTTGTCGAAGTCCACGCAGGAGACGGCAGCTTCGGACTATCTGCATCTCGCTGAGTGTGCAGGCCCAGAGGCACAGACGTTTCAGGTCCTTCAGACGGCTTGCACAAAGTAGACCTGGCCCCACTTCTCTACCACCCAGACTCAACTCCTCCAGTCCAAGCCATCCTGCTCCAAGACCTAGGGAGGCCATCTGTAACTGGTAGCCCTGCCTTCCATTGATGCCTATTTCCAGAAACTTGAGCCTGGAAAGCCCTTCCACCCCACAGGCACCATCTTTAGCAGCACAGCTCCTCAGTCCATTGGCTGTCACACGAAAGGTGTCCCGCAGTTCCAGTCGACTCAGTCTCTCCCAGGAATTCAGACTCTGAAGATGATGATCAGTGAAGGATGGCACGTTGTTGAGAACCAAGGTCTCAATTTTTGTCCCTGATGGAGAGCAAAGCTTTCTTTCTTTCTGACACAGCTCTTGCAATCGAGCCCCTTCACTAGATGAGGGCTCTGCTCTTTCTTGAACAGTTGAAGATGGCAATATCTGGTTGAAAAAGCCAAGGGGCAATTCACAACTAGAAAGTTCCAGCATTTGCAGAGATGGAGGTAGGAGATGGCAACCGGTAAGGCCTCTCAGGTCGGTGTGCAGGAGATAAAGTTTTCTCAGTCGAGGGCACTTTGTGGACAAAGCCTGTAGCCAAGACTCTGAGAGAAAGGTGCCACCCCGGGCAGACAGCAGCAAACCACGTAACCGGAGAGACCTTAGTCCACAACCCAAGTACTGACGCAGCAGGACCCACAGTGTACGTGATGACACCTTATAACAATTTGAGGTCCGTTAGCAATGTGTATGATGAGAAAAACAAAGAGGTTTTGTCAATAACCTTACAGACAAAGATACAAGTAAAATAAACACACACATAGATACAATGTTTTACAAAGTGCTCAATGTGAACTTTAAACGTAACACCTGAAGACAGCATAACACCTGAAGACAACAATTTTATTACAAATGCTTGTATTCAAAACAAAGGAAACATAAAGATTATGGCTGACGTCCCTGTCAATGCTGAAACCTGAGGCCAGAAAAGTCAGACTAGACCTGACTTTTCATATTTCAAAAAAGGATCACAGTCCTTGCTCCAACATTACTGCATTTTTAACTTGACGTTGCGATAGTATAAACTATATATATCTGTGTGTGAGAGAGAAAGAGAGTGAGAGAGAGAGAGTTTAAAAACTAATGTTCTATAACTTACTCTTTTCCATGTTGTTAGATCTACAAATCTCCAAAGTTTCTGGTCTTTAACAAGTCGTTTCCACCTCTTACACACCCTATAGTGTACAAATGCAATAAACAATTTCATCATGTGACTCCAGGCACAACAAAGGAGAGGCGTTTTGAGACACTTGTATAACGAATATATTGCGAAACAATGATAAGAAATATTTCACTTGTCTTACCTTCCAGCTCTGACGAGCTCACGTACGTTCAAAAACGACAAGACATCGATTAAAATGTTCTCGGGTAAAAAGTCTAAATTATAACCATCTATTTCTTCCATTTTTGTAAACAAAACTCACGGACCAATTTTCTGGACGCACACAATGTTACGTCTAATCCCACCGGAAACAGCTAGACGTCGACGGAAAGACCGAACTACTTTTAATATTAGATAAAATGCTATGTGAATAAACCATTATTTAGTTATTGCTATGAGTATTTAGCATATGAATATAAAAATAAAAAATAATTTTGTAAAAATATACCAAGAATTACAAAATATATGTAAAGCACCAAATCAGGATATTGTGTAAATATCCTGCTGTAGTGACGTTGCCGCCGTAGCGTTATGTCAACAGTACTCTGCGCATGCACGGACTACCGGACAAGATGGCGACCAGCAATGGTGGAGGAATGGAGGTGGATGGGGCAGGCGAGTATTATACAAAATTTCCTCTATTTCTGCCCCATTTGAAACTAACCGTGTTGTAGACCTTAACAAGTATATACTTGTGTCACCAGTGTTTGTAGAGATAGATTCCATAAATGTGGGAGGTGAAGCGCTGGCTAACAGGCTCGGATTAACGTACATTGCATTTTCTCGTGAAAAGTGTCAACAAATCAATCACACTAGTGATTTGATCGTTTCTCCTTCTAATTCCTTACTATAGAACAAGTTAGTGGTGTGATCGTTAACTAGTGAATTCACGTAGGTTCCAAAAAGAAACCATAATCCACATAACAATAATTTATTAATGCAGTGGTGGTCTGAGAAGTCAGTGCGATAAAGCAATAAATTATCTTCTCTCCCTCTGTCCACTATCAAGAGGTCGCCTCATCTGTGGTTAGACACATCTTTGAACAGTGTCAGACAATGTTATTCTATTAATTAGTAGCTTTTTAGCAGCAGGCTTACAATGGAGTCTATTTAAAAAATCAACCATCAAATCGTAAAAAAGACCATCTTCTACGTCCATTTTCTCTTTACCCTTTAAAAGGAAGACTTCTTGTAAAAATGTTCTCCATACCAAAAGACACAATATGTGTCTATACACAATGTTGATCTGACTCTTGCAATACTCCTACTCTTTTAGGGCCAGAACTATTCACTTAAACTCATCATTTAACTAGTGAGTTGATTAAAACAGTAATTAAGAGGCTCATCTACAACTCACAAAGCAAATGTAACTTATTTGTTGATGAACAACAGGTCCTTTAAAGTTTTTGTAGAATTTAAAAAGACTAGTTTTATTTGTTTACTTGTGTTTGTATGGTTGCAGCCAGCCCCGGTGTCATGGCCTCAGGAGTCACTGGAAGTGTGTCCGTAGCCTTACATCCTCTGGTTATTCTCAATATATCCGACCACTGGATACGTATCCGCTCACAGGAAGGAAGACCAATGCAGGGTAAATTGTGTGCAGTGTTGGTGCTCACCTGAATGAACATAAGCAGGGATTTTTTTTAACAGCAGCTGGTTTTTGTCTCCTGCTCAGTGATTGGAGCTTTGATCGGGAAACAGGAGGGTAGAAACATTGAGGTGATGAACTCGTTTGAGTTGCTGTCTCACACCATAGATGATCGAGTGCTTATTGACAAGGAATATTATTACACCAAGGAAGAACAATGTAAGTGAACTAAATGAAAAGTTTAAATAAAACAGCAAATACCTTTTAAGACCTACATTTTCTTTTACAGTTTTGTAATCACCGCAAATATGTAACGTTTAAGGTTTTAACTTCAAGCCTCATATGTGCTTTCGGTAATCTCTCTTTACCGTTTCATAATCTGTTCTAGTCAAACAGGTTTTCAAAGACATGGAGTTTTTGGGCTGGTACACCACAGGAGGTCCGCCTGACCAATCAGACATTCACATTCACAAACAGGTCAGTGGCCGAATAATCAAATTATATACAGTAAATCTAAATGACAACAGAAGACAAATAATTGTAATCCTCAAGAATCAGTGCAAGTTCTGTCAGTTAAGAAAAATAAGAAACTGCTGAACTACCTTCAAACTCTAGACAGATTTCGTTGGCGCAGCAGTGACCTCAAGTGGTCAGTGGAAAGTATAAAACAGTGTTCAACTTGAAGATTATCTGCATTTCCAATAATTCAAGAACACATGGTTAAATCACAAGTAAGGAAACAATGTTCTGGAAAATCTTTGTTAAACATGATTATGAATTAATCTAGTTAGTCTGCATGTTGATGCACCAATAATTGTTTTTGTGTAGTTGTAAATTCCTAAACATGAAATAAACCAAAATTGAATTTAAAAAAAATAATTCTCAGTAACTAAAAGATCTCTCCTTTCGTTGTCGAAGTTTTATTGTTATCAAATGAACATTGTCTTTGTGTGTTTCTACAAATACCTGAACTATTTTGTGGTAAAGGTTCTAAAACTATCAAGATTAAAAACAAATGCTACATAACTACATGCGTCTTCTTTTCCCAGGTGTGCGAGATCATTGAGAGTCCTCTCTTCCTCAAACTCAACCCAATGACCAAACACACTGATGTGAGTCCAGCAGCATTTCACTGTAGTAACACATGTATATTCAACTGCTCTAAACCTATTTGTTTTTCTCCTTTAGCTTCCTGTTAGTGTTTATGAGTCTGTTATTGACATCATCAGTGGCGAGGTAAAGTCTATATTGTTGAAATGTGAAATCCTAAAGACTATTTAGTTTTTACGTTAAATTATCTATATACAGTATATATTTTTTGGTAAATACATTGTTGCCTAGGCCACCATGCTGTTTGCCGAGCTGACCTACACTTTAGCAACAGAAGAAGCAGAGAGAATCGGAGTCGACCATGTAGCCCGAATGACGGCCACAGGCACAGGAGAGAACTCCACAGGTTTGTCCATAAAAGTGTCACTGCTGCTTTAAAGGTTTAACACAGTAAGGTAAATTGCAGCCATGTCCAATATACTTAGTACTGTGCAAAAAATATCAAACATGCAGACATTGTATATTCTCATATTTCAATAATAAATTGTATTATAGCTTATCGTGCACTTCTTATAAACATAATGCTAGATATTAGAACCAAAAATGCAACCAAACTTAGTCACTATATTAAAATGCATCCTGTCTGTTTGTCCCTCTTACTTTCTTTCCTGCCTCAGTCGCCGAACACCTCATAGCCCAGCACAGTGCAATAAAAATGCTCCACAGTCGGGTGAGGATCATTCTAGAATACGTCAAAGCTGTGGAAACAGGTGAGAGGAGAGACGTGGCAATTTGACGATACAGCAAAAGAATGTGGAGAGAAGTGTGGAAAAACAGCTGTTTTTAAAACAAACTTCCTCACTTTTACACCATCAGAGGCCCCTCTTTCCAAACACGCCCCAATAATTAGAGGCGCCTGTTTGATAGCATCCTGACAACATCTACACCACTTCCTTGTGTGCATATATACATATAGTAATTACCCAAGATCATAATTCATTGTGTTTTAACACAGTCACTAATCATTTCTTCTACCTTCACATTCTGAAGGAGAAGTTCCCTTCAACCACGAGATCCTTCGAGAAGCAAACGCCCTGTGTCACCGGCTGCCCGTCCTCAGCACCATAAAATTCAAAACGGACTTCTACGATGTAAGAAAGCTTTAAGTTCACACAATGTATATAAATTCAAATTATTTTTTTTTAGCAGCGAACCACTTGTGTCACGCTGTTTCCAAAAGTGCAGAAACTCCATGGTCTGCCCATCATTTTCTAAGTTACTGTAGCTAAAAATGTGGACTGAAATGAGTCACAAGACACTGTTTACTGACATCATCCGTTCTCAGACTTCAGCTAGAGATGTACAGATGTACCAGTAGATATCCTCCCACCACAAGGGGTAGAAGAACGACTGTGGGGTAAAAAAAAAAACCCACACCTGGGGAAATAAGTGCCTAGCTTGTGTTAAACGGCTGTGCCTCTGTGTCTCCCTTCAGCAATGTAACGACGTGGGCCTCATGGCCTACTTAGGAACCATCACAAAGAGCTGCAACAGTATGAACCAGTTTATCAACAAGTTCAACGTCCTGTACGACAGACAGGGCATCGGCCGCAGGATGAGAGGACTCTTCTTCTGAACGTTCGGCCTCTGGGCGGAGCCAGAGACAAACAAGCACTGCAGTTCCTCCTCCCTCTCTCTGATTTGGCTTTGTTTATATTTTGGTTAACAAAGACAGATTCTAAAAAGCCACAGTAGCTGTTTTCAAAGCAGTTTTCAGTTTCAACTTTACATGTGCATTACAGAGCACCAGTCAGTCGGAGACAAATACAAAATCAAGCAACAACAAAAAAAATCTGTATATTATTTTACCCCGATTGTTTTATTGTTTCTGTATGTAATAAATAATCTGCTGATTTTCTTCATGGGATGTAAATTGTTTTTTTTTTCTTCCTGAACTGAAATTTATGTAATAGTATATATTTTTACTTTTAATAGATTTGTCTCAAAATATTTAATTTTCTACTTCTTATAAAAAAAAAAAAAGGAAATAAGAGAGGACTAACAGTAGGCCATGACAAAACTGTGAGCTCATGTAATGGCCAAAAACACAAAGACACACAAATAGTTTGAAACCAGCTGTAGGACAACTCAAAAAGTAGACAAGTGTTGTATTTTACTGTTGAAAATTTTATTAAAATGCATTAACATATTTACCAGACACTTTTTATCCAAAGCAACTTACAATAAGGAGGATTAACAATCAAGTATGTGGTTCATCTGGGAATCAAACTAACAATCAAGTATGTGGTTCATCTGTGAATCAAACCCAGGGCTCTTTGCTCTCTGCTTCCGCTCTTTGCGCTCTGCTTCCAAGACAGGCATGCTAACTGCTACACTATGGAACACACTCAGGAAGGAAAGTGAACTCCTTGTCATTGTGACATACACAACAAAATGTGACTTCTGCATTTAACCCATCACCACAGTGAACAGTGGGCAGCTTTTTGAGCAGTGTGTGGGGACAGTGCCATGGTAACTTGGAACCTGCAACCTTCCAGACCCAAGTCTGCTTCCTTAACCACTAGCCACCTCAGCCTCATTATGCAGAATGTTCTGGCATTAGTGGGCGATTAAATAAAAAAAAAAGTTAATTCAATGAAAGGTTATTTTTAGCAACAAGTACAATACATTCCTGTAAAAATACAGATGAACAATGTAACAGGGGGCTCACCCTCAACACAGGTACCATTCAATGGTCTTTATAATACAAACTCAAAGAAAGACCGTCTTTCTGTGTCTCTCTGCCTGTGTCCGTCCTCTCCTATTGGTCCCTGCTCCTACTAATATAAGGAGAGGCATGATTAGCAGAATTGCGTTCACCTGTGTCACCTCCCTGATGCTCTCCTTCCTGCAGCTGAGCGCTAACTGCTGCCACACCAGCTACCAATAAAGCAACATTGCTACAAGTACATAAATAAATAGGAAATGTGTCAAATTTTAGTTGGATCTTGTGTCTATAATCATCAAGTATTAATTTGTGTATTGTAAAGTTGTTAAAATTATTGTACAATGGCCCTTTAATTTTTTTTCTGGGGGGGGGCTATAATTATTGTGCTGAAAAGTCTGGTTTCCCCTGTTTTATGGTAAAGGCACAGTGTGGAAAACTGTGAGAGGTGCGTTATTAAATGAGCCAATGAAAATCCGAGGTGGTGTGTTCATCTCGTTTGAAGCAGTGACCCTGCTGATCCTTCGCCTCAGGAGGTTTAAAAAAAAAAGAAAAAAAAGATAGACATTTGCAGCAGGAGGAAGAGGAGGAGGAGACAAGAGTTATGGCGTCTGAGTTTCTTGTCTGACAGGAGTCAGCATTTATATGAAGTAAACATAATAATGGGCTGTTTTAACTGCCACATCATGACACGGCAACAGCTTCAGCAGAAGAGGGGAAAAAAAGCAGTCAGAACTATGATTGTATGGTTGTGTTACATTTTATTCGCATGTATCCAATCATTTCCATTATACACTTGTTTGACTTCTTCAAACACGGTAACATAGACAGCAACAAATACAGATGCTGCTTTTATGGACCAGAAATCTGACAAACGTGCAACGCAGGAGATGGTATTAGTTTGCTTTGGGTTTCTTGAAAAAATGTTTTTATATAAGTAGTTCTTTTGACTGGCGGTTGGGAATGGTCCAGGTATTTAGTCTCAGTGTTTGGCTCACACACAGACACAGACAGAAGTTTTCATTTCACCTAATGGTCAGAAATAAAGAAAACCTTAAGGCGAGGAGTTTCAAGAAAACTTGCCTCAACAAACCCAACCACATCCAGTTGCCTGGTTCTAAACCTCTGCGTATGAAATGACCTGAATGACTGAGAACCTCCACAGACATGACTAAAGTCTCCTCCGGTGTTCTTTTGACAGAAGCACCGTCCGCTTCACACCTTTCATTCACTGCTCTCCTCAGGATCCTCAGCAGGATCAGCAGGCACTGGGTACTGGAAGCGGACCGGGTCATAGAGCTCATCCCTGGGGTCATATGGAACTGCATAGAAGGGGTAATGATACAACTTCTTGATAGGTTTGGGAGGTTCTGGCTCTGGCGCTGCTTCCTCCTCCGTCTCCTCTTCCACAGGCATTGGTGGAGGTGGTGGGACCACGACCGCTCCTTTGATAGGCCTGGGTGGGTGGTCAATAAGGCAGTCGGGGTCCCAGTAGGGGTCGCAGTCATACTCCATGCCTTTGTAAGTGCGGATGAGGGTAGGAGGTGGTGGAGGACCAGACTTCATTGCTGGTGGTGGAGCAGACTTCACAGGTGGAGGAGGAGCGGACTTCATGGAAGGAGGTGGTGCGGACTTCATTGAAGGAGGTGGTGCGGATTTCATGGAAGGAGGTGGTGCAGATTTCATGGAAGGATGTGGTGCGGACTTCATTGAAGGATGTGGTGCGGACTTCATGGAAGGATGATGTACTTTCTTAGGAGTGCAGTGAGGGTGATACCGCGGGTCGCAGAGCACAGGTACGGCACCAGTGGGCAGATAGACGATGTGAGGTTTACAGAGCGGGTCGTCTTTGTTGCACAGATACATCACATCAGCTTGGGATAGAGCTGGAACGAGAGGGAGGGCGGCGGGAGCAGGGGTGCCTTTTGGGACACCTTTCATGGAAGGAGGTGGAGCGAAGCAGTCCTTGTCCTTATCTGGGTCACACATGGGAATTCCCAATTTGTTCTGGTAATAGGAGGCATCGGGGCCGTAGGTGTGCTCCAGGTGCCTCATCTGCTGGTAGAGCATCCGCAGTTTGTCGATCTCATAGAGCTGAGAAGAAGAAGATAGAGAGGACAATGGAACTAAATTAAAAACATTGACACAGAGATATTTTTCTTTCTTGAAGGTTTAATTGTACAAAACTGCAGTCAGAAATGTCAATCTTTCAGAGTTTCAGTATCTTACCCCCTCGGTGTGTCCGATGCTGCTGTAATACTTGTAATAAGCTTGGAAGTCGGGGTTTGATCTGTACCATTTAGGGTCAATGTTGCGTCTGGCCCTGGAGTGAGACAGGAAGCTGTTTGCTTTCTCTGAGTCGATGTTCACGTGTCTGACGGGAACCATTTCTGTTAAAGACAGAGAATGTTACATTAGTGAGGAGAAAAGATTCAAAAATTCAAAAAATGATGTGAAAATCAAAATAAGGTCTGACTAAATGTAATCTAAATATGTCAGGATAATACCGATTTAACTGGCATAGTCAACTGTAATGGTTTGTCATCTCAGGAATGAGAAACTTTTTAATACAATAATATTGGAAAATTGTTTAGGTTGAAGAGAAAGGTGCTGGAAAAATAACATAGAAAATAATTCAAATAAGTAAATAACTTTGTCTGTTCTCACCTTCTTGCTTAAATGCATTCAGGACTGATTTGGCCTCCAAAAGCCCTGAAAGACAAGACCGGTTATTTTCTTAACTATTTCTCTGGATGTAAATGATATAGAAATGTAAATGATGAACTGATAGCTGACCTGAGAGCAGCACCAGACAGCACAGAGTGCCCCCCATCCCAGAAATAAGAAACTGTAGCTGACCTGAGAGCAGTACCAGACAGCACAGAGTGCCCCCCATCCATAATGTGGAAATCATTGTGAATCACTGCAAAATGAATCATGACTGAATGTTGTTGACACAACAAATATATTGATCCAAAGTATTTCTCAGAGACTTGAAGACAGTACAATCATTTCTTCTTAAATGATTACACAGAACCACCAACAACATAACCATTGAATAAACTGTGACAACGTTAAACAAAAGATGAATCACTAGATGGTGACATTTAAGTCAATGTCAGATATTTTTCATAATTGTTATAATCAACTATTATACATTTTTGTGCAGCTACATGTTGTGACACCTTTACTGAATGAGCTGATGCTTTTGAATTCACTAATAACTATAGTTCTATACAAATAGTCCATGATTATTATAATCAGTATCACCATCTATGGCCTTTGAACACTTAGACAAATTCCAATTTTCAACCATATTGCATTTAACATTGCTAATAAATAAATAAATAAATAAATAAATGGCAAAACACAAAAATTAGGCCCTATCAGGTGATGGGCTGAAACTAAGGCAAAATTTAAAATTAAATGAATGAATAATTAGAAACTAAGACATGTCTCAAATACTAAGTCTTGGCTTTCTGTTTATCGTTCCAAATATTTTCTTGTGTCAATATAAAGAATGATATTTTACTCACCAGGCACAAGAGGCCGTCTTCACTGCACCGTGTGGGCCCAGTGTGGGTTAAATAGACGTCTCTGTGTCAGCTACACTAAAGGTCCACCTTCTGTCCAATGAGATCTCTCCATCTTTCAGACCTTAACTTCTGTCTCCTCCTCTTTTTTTCTATGTTTTAATAAGGGGGCCGTTGGCGCCCATTAGGATTAAAAAAGCCCCCTGGACTTCAGCAGTTAGGACATAAAGAGAACAGACTTCAAATGGAAACTTCCACCATTAACGTCTGTGTGTAAAGCATCACCTGCTGAGATAACTGCAACTCTGGGTGGAAAATGCTGTCTACGAACACAATTTTCTAGTCAAAAAAGGGAAAAAAAATTATACATCATAATTTACACAGCCTTGGATCGTGTTTTATGGTGTTTAAAAGCTCACAGCAACTGAAGGTGGTAATTTTTTAACCCAGAGGACACCTGCTTTTCTATGGACTCAGTAGAAAAAAATGAGGAAGCTGCCTTTATTGTCTCAACATGTTGGTGATAAAAAAATGGGGGAAATGAACTAACTGACCTTGTGTGCATGCACTAAAATTCAGATTTTTGACATTTTTCTTTTAAAAGAAATCATACAATGATTGACATTTTGTAGATAACCCAGTTTATATGGTTTGTATCCATAAACTGTAAACTGCTAGACTTCATTATTAATTTAGCTAAGAACACAAAAAAATAAAAAATAAAAAAATAAAATAAAAACAAAGTTAGACATTAAGCTAAATGACATACCCCCTTCTGATATATAAAACCTGTCAACTTTTAACTGGTAAACGTCAGCTAAAATCAGGTCAGTAAAAACTTCGACAAATATGACAAAAACACCTTAATGTTTGCAGAGAAGGTTAACAAAATTAACTAAAAAGCTTACTAATATTATTATAACAAACAATAAAAAAGAAAACAGAACAATTAGCTAAAATGTAGAAACACACACAAAAATTTGCACTTTTTGACAAATGTACTTTTGATTTTCTCCCTTACCATTGGTGTCTACTAAGCTTTTAGTATAGAAGATGCTAACAGTTTAGCACAAGAGCGATGCAGCTCTTTAGGATTAGGATGACAGCACATGAGCACAAATAAAAGGAAGAAAAATGTTTTTTTGTTTGTTTTCTTTTTAAATAAAAGTTGCACAAATTGTTTGTTTTCTTTTTAAATAAAAGTTATCTTAAGACATGTAGGCAAAAGCAAATAACATTGGACTAATGTAGCTCAAAGAAACACTTTCAGATGCCACGTTGATTAGCATCAGTCATGATTGGTTGCAGTTTCCTGTTAACATGTTTTACAGGGAGTGAAAAGTGTTACTATGGGCTGCATCATGTCAACACTAGACCTCTAATAAACACATTTCTTTTTAAAAGGTGCCTTCAGCTTTGACCCAAAGTGTGGTTATTTAGGTGCTGGGGCCAGGAATAGGCCACACTAACATGAAAACATGGCTGCCAACAGGCTTGTTTTGACAAAGTTTTATTTCATGCTACGGACATGACAAATATTAAACCTGTCCTAATGACAAACAAGGGTGACCCATTTCTTTACCTGTTAAGTCTTAGCCATACTGAATTACACTTACCTTTATTGTATTAAGAGCAGATCTTCAATAACAGCTGCAGGTAATTTATAATAGATCACATGTCAAGCTCAGCAGGAGGATTTAACCTAAAATATGAAAACAAAAAGGTGGACAAAAATTGACCAAACAGTGCAATACTGAACCATTCTTTATTAGTACTCTCACAACACATGGTTCCTTCTCATCCACTCTTTGCTACTTTTTAATCTAAATATAAAATGTACAGAAAAGCTCTTCTCCAGATGAAGCTTTAAGCTTCTAGTTGCAGAAAGTTTCCAATAACAAGCTCTGACATATTTACAGGCAATTTTACTGATAACAGGAATAATTAACAATGAACTTGAGAAGCAGAATTTTTGCAATGTAGTCAAAATAAAAAACCCTCCAGCTCCAGAGTTTCACAAAATGCTAGCCAATGAAGTGATGTTTTTGAGAAACTCAAAGAGCTTGATGTGAGCTGAAACTCAGGTCAAGTTTTTTTTTTTTTTTTTAAACAAATGTGATGCGAGTGCGGGCCTGGTTGATCTGCCACACGTTCAGCTCCTCATACTCCTCCAGTGCCTCCTGGAACTGTGCAGGAGTGAAGCCACGAGACACACATCGCTGCTCAGCCTCTGCCATACGAACCAAACCGCCTGCTCCACCTTTGCCAACCACGCCCTCTGTGGCCAGTTCACGAACCAATGAGAAAATGACGTCAGCTGGACGCTGAGCTCTGGAATAATAATAATAAAAAAAATTCAAACAAAACTGTGGGGAAAAAGAAATACCTGAACAGTCCTCAATATTTTCCACTTAAAGTCAAATGTAGAAAATGTTTGCAATAAACTAATAAATGTTTTGATTTAAAAGATGGGAAATAACCAACGTTTGCTGTATTCAAGCTAAGTTTTGGAATACAGGCAGAGAGTCAATACAGAAAGCTAAGGAAAGAGGCTTCACTGATTCATCTAGAAATGTAGGTTTTACTGAGGCATGCTAACTTCATTCAAATAAATGTTTGAAAAATGTTCTGAAGTTCATTTTCAAGAGGCGTGAACATTTCCGACACCGTTCTCAGTCAACATGCTGCCATGTGAAACCAGCGCCATAAAAACTGCTGCTGAGCTTTAACAGCTTCCTGCAGGATATGCAGCTACTGTTAGGGGCAAATGAAAGACTCGTAAAGACAACGGTGTCCTCTTGCTCTACATGCTGACATCACTCCATCATTAAAAGCAGCCCTTCACCCCAGTGTTAACACAAACCTTGTGCTGCTCGACTTGTCGGCCTGGAGTGAGTCCTTGGACATTTCCATCAATCTCATAGCTTCGTTGACGTCCTCCTTCTCCACAGTGTCCATCATGCGGAGACGTGCCTGAAGGAGTCACGACACAAACACAGTTGGGAGTAAATTTAAGAAGAGAAGGCATCAGTAATGGCGGAGGGAAGACCTAACTTTCTTTTTCGAATGTGTACGATGCGCTGTGCCGGCACTGTCAGACCGAGACAAGTGCAATGCCTTCTGGGAAGGTCGGCAATTGCCCAAGTCTCCGCCTCTCAACACCAGCTAGTCTCTGAAAGCTGAAATAAGAGCAGCACACCTGAATACTTTCATATAAACTCAGAGTTGCCTTGATGCAGCAAAGGTCTGCATGTAGCTATGCCCAGAAAGTTGGATGACTGTTCTGCTCTTGGTCAGTTTTGCATGGGTTTGCACAGCTGCACTGAATGCACCAGGCTGACTGCCCACCCTGCAAAGCTGAATAGAAGCAGAGAAACTTTAATCAGTTTCGTACCTGCACCGATTTAATAAAATCATAATATTTACAATCTGAATGGCAGATGACATCCAGATGTGAGGTCAGTAGTACAGTTTAACCCAACACGCATGTGGAGGCGGTGGCAGAAGCCTGCCCCCTTGTGGACATTTTGCTGTAGCACATGGCCGGCCTGTCTGCCGGAAGTGCTGGTTTTGCAGTAGGTGAAAAGACTGCTACCTGCACAAACAGCACTTTTGGCAGCCAGAGGCCAGAACAGTGAACAAACACTTCAGGAATCATCTAAAGATTAACTGTTCAATTGAACTTCTGTCAATAAATAACTACAAAGATACGAGAAAATTAAAATGTTACAAATAAGACAACATGTTCTATTGTGTTACTGGACTCTGTTCAAATACTAATATAAAAAAGGTTTTAAATACTTGAAATATGTATAATATTTGACTGTTACATAAACCTTATTGAAATTGAAAATTAAGCAGCAGATAAACTCGAACCTTAATTGAAAATTAAGCAGCAGATAAACTCCAGCACTTTAAAGAACAGTAACAACAATTCCAGTGGTTGGAGTCGACTGTATGATTTGGTCCAGTGTGAGAAAGAAGTGCTCACATTGCAGTAGAACTAGGTTATTACCACTACCTGCACTGTAAGCACTTTATCTCACACTGGACTGATGAAGACGCCCAGGAGGATGGACAACTGGTAATGACTTTCTATCACAGTATCTAATCCAACAGAATGAAAGGCACTGGTCGATGATTATCAGTTGATAAAAACACAGCCCACGTTGTGTGACAGTGACCAACTGTATGGTTCTCACCAGGGCGGTGGATAGACGCAGGATGGAGAGCAGGGTACGGGCAGAGGTGAATGTGGTGTCTTTGCTGACTCGGGCCTCTTTCCTCATCTCCACATAAGCGGCAGTGATGTAATCAGCCAGATTTTCTGGAACCACTGGCTGACGCTTTTTACACAGTGCGATGTATCGTCTGAGGAGAGTTTAAGGTGCATTGTTTACTTTGACATTTCCCCACTGCTACAATTGTTCTCATGTTTGTGTTCCAATGCTTAAAATACAGGTGCATTACCTCATGAGCTTCATCTCGATGGGTGTGAAGTGAGATGGTGGCTGGCGGCAGTGTTGGTGAACGTATGTGATGTGATGGGCCAGACGCAGATCAGCATCGGCGTCCGGTTTGTCTTGGATCAACCAGAGGAGGTCGAAACGAGAGAGCAGAGCTGCAGGCAGCTGGATGTTCTGCTCGAGGCTCTTACGTGGATTATAGCGTCCATAAGCAGGGTTGGCCGCAGCCAGGATGGAGCAGCGGGCATTGAGGGAGGTCATGATGCCTGCCTGATAAGACGATGACATTTAAAAAAGGTTACATATATTTTTTTAATAAAGATTTAAGTCAAAATGACTTTTGCCATTACGAAGAATACAAAGAAAGCACATTTTAAACAGACACTCATAGTGCCCTCTGCTGGATCAGAGAATAGCAGGGGCTTTCGTCTCACCTTTGCTATGGAGATGGTCTGCTGCTCCATCACCTCGTGGATGGCCGTGCGGTCTGCATCTGCCATCTTGTCAAACTCGTCAATGCAGCAAACACCCAGATCAGCCAGCACCAAGGCTCCACCCTCTAGGGTCATTTCTCCAGTGATGGGGTCACGCATCACCGCCGCAGTCAAACCTACACCTGAAGATCCGCGGCCTGTGGTGTACTGACCTGAAGATCAGAGGACAAAAAAAAAAAGATATGAATTAAAAAGTCAGAAACATTTAAACAATCCGCCTTCATAGTTAGTCGTGTCCAACTCTTCAACTAGGTGATTATTTTACCTACTCTACCTAAGGTTTTGCTCTACTGTAAGAACAAAGAGTTAAACCTGATAAAACAACAGAGGAGCAAAACATAAACTCACTTCGCGGAGCCAGACGGTCGATGTAGGAGAGCAGCTGGGACTTGGCCACTCCAGGGTCTCCCATCAGGCAGATGTTTATGTTTCCTTCAGGTGGAAAAGACAAAACAGGAAGAGAGTTGTCACTTTTACAGAATTCCACCAGGAGAAAATGTTATCAGCTTGTTTTAAAAACAAGCAACTGGGATAATTTGCTACTGATAGGTTTCAGGAGAATCTCTCTGAAGAGGTTTTTTTTAGATTTTCTCACCTCTGATCTTCATGCCTTTAGGTGCTTGTTGTACTCCCCCAACCAGGAGCAGAAGAAGAGCCTTTTTCACGTCTTCGTGTCCGTAAATCTCAGGTGCTATGGAGCCGGCCAGTTTCTCATAGAACCCCTCGTCTGTAGATCAAATCCACTTGCGTTATTCTATGAGCATGAGAACACTTTCTTCATGGCGAATAATTGAATTGCATTCAGAATCTCACCTGTGATGTCACGCAGCTCCACCTCAGACAGCTCGTCATTTCCGAGCTCATCATCTTCTGTTTTGTTCATCAGTGTGATGCTGTGTGCCTCCATGTAGGTTTCTGACAGGAGACCCTAAAAAAAACCCAACAAATGTCATGCATTGATGAGGATCATAAGTTACTCCAACATTAAAAAACAGAAAAATCAGAACCATCTGTTAACAATTTATATAAAGTGAACAGAGTATCCACTAACAAGCTGGCTATAATTTTGTTAAAAGAAATCATATGTTGGTCTTGAAAAAATGTGGACATATGAGATGAAGCTTTGGAGCATCAAATTTGTTCTAAAGTAGAAATAGACTAGAGGATGGGCCTATTTCAAAAATTAAAAATAATAAATAAAAATACAATCCATCAAATCTCTCTTTTCTTGTGTTGAGTCAGAGTTCACTCACTTGAACACTTTGACTGAATCCTGCTTTCAGCAGTGGGAGGAAAACTCCTGTGATGGCCACATGGTCACCAGGCTGAGCCAGACGTGTGTTTTCTCCACGGGCAAACACGGACATGCTCCTTGGAATATTACCAACGGGCACCTGATCACTCTGTGTGAAGAAAATGGAATGAGAGAAAGAAACAAAATAATGAAAGCAGACCGAAGTCACATCTTGCTGACTTTATTTGGGGTTTTCTTACATGTTCTTGGATTTTAAGCTCCTGAAATTTGACAAACTTGGAGCCTCTGGTCTGCAAGTAGAGACGACCCCCGGATTTGTTGGTGACACAGTCCTGACTGGGACACATGACCAGAGGCATGAAGGAAGGAGACTGAATCTGAGG